AACAAAAAGAGAGGGTAAGAATAAAGATGCAAGTTTTAATTCACCCCAAACTCCCATTCTACTTTATCACAACCTAGCTCACCCCTTCAGGAAACAAGCTGTAAATACAACAGCACTCGCATCCAGTGGAGCTTGATCAATAAGACACTGCAAGCCCACAGCGTCACTGTTATTCTAGCTCCTCCTTAAGCCTGCAATCAATGTAGAGGCACCAGCAGCCATGAGGCCAGCACTGCCTGTGGCTGTGGAAGCCTCACCCCATTTGGTCCTCACAGCAACCCAGTGATGCAGATGAAATTTTACCCCATTTTACAGATGAGGCAGCTGATGTGCAAAGTCTACCACTGCACATACCATCTTTCTCCCTGTCTCCCTGCTTTGTTTTTCTCCATAGCACTGATCGTCTTGTGCCGTACTATTTATTTCACTTATTTATCTGTCTTTCTCCACTTCCCAAGATGCCAGCTACCCTTGGCAGGGATTCCTGTCTGTTTTGGTCACTGGCACTGGTGGTGCACAGGAAGTGTCTGTCGAATGGATGAACCTCCCCAAGGGCTCATTAACTAGTGAGTGGCATGCACTCTGAGGGCAGGGCAGGAAATGGTGTCTCATGATATTTTCTTCTTTGTTATTAACAAATATGAATTGATGGTGAAGATGGAATTATGAACTATGCCCTAGCCATGGTTTGCTGAAACCACAGCCCCTTGGGTTTTCCTTTGAGTTGTGTTTCTAGACCGCAATGACCCTCCCAAGTCAGAGAGAAAAAAAAGAATGAAAAAATGAATAGCAGTTTTGTTGACAGGGATCTGTCCCTGAAACATGACAAATGCTCCCCTTTGGGGAGCCCGGCCATCATCAGCCCCTACTACAGGTCCCTGCTGGGAGAAGGAACACTCATCCTGGAACTTTTCTCACCCAGCCAAGAAGTTCGCTACCCTGCGGCTGCACCCAGGACAAGTAGAGGCAAGAGGACACAGGAAGGTGGACCGAATCACCCCACGCAATCTTTTGGGGGTTCGGAAAGTTGAGAAAGTGCCTGTCCCCTATCTAGGTGAGCAGACCAGCTTGTAGAGCAAGTTTCTCCCAAGTGCCCATAACTCTCCAAATGCTCTCGGGAGAGAAGAGCCAGTGTCTGAGGAAGCATCGTCAAAGACAATCTAGTAAGCTGCTTTTGTGAGACTGACTCCAGAACAGTTTACTGAACTTCAAGGAACCACTGTACCCCAGGGAAATGTCCAGGTGTATGATCTATTAATAGTTTGCACCCAGGTCCCCAGGTAAGACACCCTGGAGCTCCTGCCAGCTGAGTCAAAAATAAGGCCAAGCTGCATACAGCCCAGGGGGTTCTAGGAGGGCAGGTCCCAGCATGGTGCTGCCAGAGTAGAATGCTGCGCGGTCCCTGAAAAGGATTTAAAAATATCTGAATGTACTCAGAATGATAACCCAGGTACACTGTTCAGTGAGAAGAGGAGCTTCAGGATATAAATTGCTGCATCTCATTTATGATTAAAAAAAAAAATTCTGGCCGGGCGCAGTGGCTCATGCCTGTAATCCCAGCACTTTGGGAGGCCGAGGTGTGCGGATCAACCGAGGTTGGGAGTTCGAGACCAGCCTGACCAACATGGAGAAACCCCATCTCTACTAAAAATACAAAATTAGCTAGGTGTGGTGGTGGTGCATGCCTGTAATCCCGGCTACTCGGAAAGCTGAGGCAGGAGAATCTCTTGAACCCAGGAGGCGGAGGTTGCACTGAGCTGAGATTGTGCCATTGCACTTCCACCTGGGCAACAAGAGTGAAACTCTGTCTTAAAAAAAAAAATTCTAGGCCGGGCTCAGTGGCTCAAGCCTGTAATCCCAGCACTTTGGGAGGCGGAGGCGGGTGGATCACGAGGTCAAGAGATCGAGACCATCCTGGTCAACACAGTGAAACCCCGTCTCTACTAAAAAAATACAAAAAAAATTAGCTGGGCATGGTGGCGAGTGCCTGTAATCCCAGCTACTCAGGAGGCTTAGGCAGGAGAATTGCCTGAACCCAGGAGGCGGAGGTTACGGTGAGCCAAGATCGCGCCATTGCACTCCAGCCTGGGTAACAAGAGCGAAACTCCGTCCCAAAAAAATAAAAATAAAAATAAAAAAAATTCTAGTGTGCTTGCATCCTCTTTCTCTCTCTCTCCATCTCTCTCTCTCCCTGCAGGCACTTGTAAATGCAAACAAGATGTCTACAAGAGACATATCCACTGGTTCACAGTGCTCTTGGAAGGAGTACAATGGGGTATCCAGAGAGGTTTATTTATTTATTTATTATTTTTTAAAGAGATGGGTTCTTGTCCAGTTGCCCAGGCTGGAGTGCAGTGGTGCAATCATAGCTCACTGCAGCCTTACGACTAACCTCAAGCAATCTTCCCACCTTGGCATCCCAAAGTGTGAACAGGCATGAACCACCTTGGCCGACTGTGTCTACGGTGTTCTAAGTCAGTCCTCTGCATTTTTATACAGTGACCATGTGTTACTTTAATGATATCAAAAAATATGATAAAGGAGATTGGGCGCAGTGGCTCACACCTGGAATCCCAATACTTTGGGAGGCCGAGGCAGGCAGATCACAAGGTCAGGAGTTCACCATCAGCCTGGCCAACATGGTGAAACCCTGTCTCTACTAAAAATACAAAAATTAGCTGGGCATGGTGGCAGGCGCCTGTAATCCCATCTACTTGGGAGGCTGAGGCAGGAGAATTGCTTGAACCCAGGAGGTGGAGGTTACAGTGAGCCGAGATCTCACCACTGCACTCCAGCCTGGGTGACAGAGTGAGACTCTGACTTGGGAAAGAAAAGCAAAGTCTGATAAAGACAAGCAGCCACAGAGGAATTGACTCGGCCCCTCCAGCCTACACCCACAGATGAAATCTGGAGAAGAGGACTTTTTTTAATTTTTTATTTATTTTTATTTTTATTTTTTTAAAGACGGGATTTCACCTTGTTAGCCAGGATGGTCTTGATCTCCTGACCTTGTGATCTGCCCGTCTCAGCCTCCCAAAGTGCTGGGATTACCGGAGTGAGCCACCGTGCCCAGCCAAGAACAGGACGTCTTACCCATGGGTCTGGGTGCACATTTGGACCCAGCTGCCTCACCTGCATGTGATGAAGGACAAAGATCATAATCAGATCCTGTGGCCACAAGGGTTCACAGTGTGATGGCTGTCCCTTGAGGACATGTCTGAGACAGGGTCTCACTCTGTGGCTCAAACTAGAGTGTAGTGGCCTAATCACAGCTCACTGCAGCCCCAAACTCCTAGGCTCAAGTGATTTTCCCACCTCAGCCTCCCAGATAGCTGGGACTATCGGCATGTGCCACCACATCTGAATAATTTACTTTTTTCAGTAGAGACTAGAGACAGGGTCTTGCTATATTGCCCAGGCTGGTCTCGAAGTCCTAGACTCAAGGAATCATCCCGCTTCGGCCTCCCAAAACGCTGGGATTTACAGACATGAGCTACTGTGCTTGGGCTCGGCTAGATCTTTTGATGCTCAAGTCTTCCAAGCATGAACTCCTCAGTTGCACAGGCTGCCAAGGGAGCCACTGCTGCTGACTTTTTAGCTTATGTTATGCAAAAGACATTTTATTTTATACTTTTAAAAATTCCCTTGCAAATGACCTTTGTAACATCCCCTAAAATCACATGCATGTGCCTTTACCCATCACCTATGTGCAGATTTGCAGCCACACTCAGGACCAGACCAGTGGGTGTGCTGTTGAAAGCAGCTGGCTAGGAGCCAACTCTACAGTAACCCAAATCGGAAATAGTCCCAGAGGATCGGTGGTCCCTTTGTTCCCACCCAGAGTCACAACACACTATGTATGTTCTGCTTAGGGGCTTACTCCTGGACGTTCAGCTGTGAACCCCAACTGTGCCACTGACTTTGGTCTTCAGTTGAGTCACTAAACCTCTTTGTGACTCAGTCTCTTCATCCATAAAATGGAGAATTACAGTCTCTGCCTCCTGAGGCTGTTGTAAGAATTACATTAAACTGCAAAACAGGTAGATGCTTAGAATAGTGCCAGGTACAAAGGCTGTGCAGAGGACAGAAGCTGTGATTAACTATGAAGTGACTGGTTGATGAGGGCCTGTGCGAACCTCACCTTCTGAGCCCCTTTCCATTTTATAGGAGAAAAAGCTGAAGTCAGAGAAGGCAGCCAACTTGCACTGGCACAAACAAAACAAACTCTTTCATAACCAGTTTCAGCCTCCGTGAAGTCTAGCAATTTACCCAAACTCAAAGATCAAAAGAAAAAATATTCCAAAGCATTAACTGACTGAGCAAGAAATAAATGGACCAAGGGAATCGGTTTTATCCTGGAAAGCTCCTCCTTGGTTTGGTCGAAGAGAGCCAGAACTGGAAGCCGCGGACACCCCTTGGGGTCGGCGCCCGGGGGTTGAAGGTCCTCCAGACTTCCCCACTGCCAGCAATGGAAGCAGCCGAGCGCCCACTGGTGTGGCTTCTCCCGTGGTGAAGTGGAGAACCTTGGCTGCAAATCACCTCTTTCCTTGTTTCCCTGCTGAACTCCTTGGATGAGGGCATGAGTTGGGGTAAAGAAGATGACTAAGGAAAAGACAGAAAAGTTCCTGCAAAGAGGGACTTGCCCGTGTCTTCCGAGTGGGTGATGGTGGGGACCCTATGCAGACCTGAAGAGGGCCGGAAGCCAAGGACTGTGGGGAGAACGGAACCCGGAGAGTCGGCTCTGGAAAAAGAGACGGAGGCTGGGCGAAGACGGAGAGGGGGCTCAAGTTACGGGGAAATGGGACAGGGACTGTCAGAGGTAGCGAAGAGGCAAAAATGCTCGCAGAAGAGGAAGGGGCAGGTGTGCTTCCAGGTCAGCCTCTGCAAACCCCTCGAGTCCCAGATGGGTCAACTGAGGCCCACGGTGGCGCGGGGCCTCTCTAGGGGCCTGCGGGGACTCGGGCCGGAGAACAAAGCGCGGGCCGGGCTGGGGGGCTCACCTGGTTGCAAAACACCTCGGGCTGCTGGTTGGGGGCGGGCACGGCCTGGGTGGCAGCGGCGGACAAGAGGCGGTGGCCCAGGCGGGGCCCGAGGCGGGCGGCGACGCGCAACATCGCGGCGGGCGAGAGGACGGCGAGCGAACAGACTGCAGGGCTAGGGGCGCAGAGGCACTGCGCCGACCCCGCTCCCACCCCGCGCGGCCGCCAATGGGAATGCGGGGGCGGGGCCGCCTTTCCCCACCCTCCGGCCGGGGCGCGCCGAGGAGCCGGGGCAGTGCGGCGGCTGCTTCTCGCCTCGCGCGACGCCTCCGCGCCCGCCAACGCCCTCCGCGTGTGCGGAAGTACCCGGCGCCGCTAACACAGCTCGCCTTGGATGAGCCCCCACTGTGTGCCTTTGACCCCAATGTGAATAGGCCCGAGCCAGGGCTACCCTGACCCTGGCTGATGGACCAGGGGAAGAGACCAGCCGTAAACCCAAAGGCGAGATGATTTCGGAGGTGAAGGAGATGAACGGGGTGGCATGGGTGGGGCAGAGGGCCCTGCTTTTATAAGCACCGTGGTCAGGAAGTGACAAGTGAAACCAGAATGATGACAGGGAACAGCAAGGGCAAAGGCCGGGAGATGGGACCGCCTGGCACGTGTTAAAAGAAATGGAAAGAAGGAAAGAATGGAGCCCAGTGAAAAGGGGAGAGAGAGGGGAGAGGCGGCCAGCGCCAGGGCAGGGAGGGTCTTGGAAGCAGTGATTCGGAGCTTAGAACAGGATGACTTGCATGATTTGCTTCTTAACTCTTCTCCGGTGGATGTAAGGATTTTGTCAGGTACATCCTGGGGTTGGGCCCTGGGCATGCAGGAAGGAACAGAGGACATTGGCTGGTAAGGGAAGTGGATACCCGGTCAAATGAGTGCATTTCAGCCAGCTAAATGTCAACAAAAGTCGGAGGGGGTGAGAGGAGCTGAGCTGTGCCAGGAGAGATATGTTTAGACAGCAGAGAATTACAGAAAAGGGGCACATCCAGGCAACAAGTGTCCAGGGAGCTGTTTGTGGCTGGAGCCCCTGGAGCTGAGGCCAGAGAGGTTGGCTAAAGCCCAGTTACAATGACTAAGCCCAAGTGTGGATTCTAGGGCCAAAGAAGGGCTGCAGAGTGTGGGAGTTTTGTTTTGCTTTGCTTTCAAGGGCTAATACAATGCCAAACGGGTATTACAGCAGAGCTGTAATATAATTACTGTCTGTAAAAGAGACGCCCCAGAATTCCAGTGCAAATGCAATAAAGTCCCTGCTCATGTTGCTTCTAACAGGTGGGAACTCCTGGAATTCTCTTCCATCTGGGAACTCAGGGACCCAGGCTTTGTGGGACTCTGATTTCTGAACTACAGTATATTCTGTTTCACTGGTCTATTTGTGTGCCAGGATGATGCTGTTTTAATCACTGTAGCTTTGTCCTAAGTCTTTTTGTTTTTTTCCCTCAAGACCAGGGTCTCGCTCTGTTGCCCAGGCAATCACGGCTCACTGCAGCCTCGAACTCCCAGGCTCAAGTGAACCTCCCACCCCAGCCTCCTGAGTAGCTGGGACTATAGGTGCACACCACTATGCCAGACTGATAAGGTTTGGCTGTGTCCCCACCCAAATCTCATCTAGAATTGTAACTCCCACAATTACCATGTGTCCTGGGAGGAACCCAGTGGGAGGTGATTGAATTATGGGGGCGGGTCTTTCCTGCACTGTTCTTGTGATAGTGAATGAGTCTCGTGAGATCTGACGGATTTAAAAACAGGAGTTTCCTTGCACAAGTTCTTTTTTGCCTGCTGCCATCCATGTAAGATGTGACTTGTTCCTTCTTGCCTTCCACCATGATTGTGAGGCCTCCTCAGCTATGTAGAACTATACATACATTAAACTTTTTTTTTTTTTTTTTGCCCAGTCTTCCTTTGTCACTCAGGCTGGAGGGCAGTGGTGAGATCTTGCTTCACTGCAACCTCTGCCTCTCAGGTTCAAGCGATTCTCCTGTCTCAGCCTCCCAAGTAACTAGGATTACAGACATGTGCCACCATGCCCGCTAATTTTTGTATTTTTAGTAGAGACAGGGTTTCACCATGTTGGCCAGGCTGGTCTCGAACTCCTGACCTAAGGTAATCCACCCACTTCAGCCTCCCAGAGTGCTAGGATTACAGGCATGAGACACTGTGCCTGGCCTAAACCTCTTTCTTTTGTAAATTGCCCAGTCTCAGGTATGTCTTTATCAGCATCATGAAAATGGGCTAATACACCTGCTAATTTTTTTTTTTTTTTTTTTGTAGAGATGGGGTCTCTATGTTGCCCACACTGGTCGTGAACTTAAACCTGGGCTCAAGCAGTCACCCTGCCTTGGTCTCCCAAAATACAGGCATGTGCCACCACGCCCGGCCTTCTCCTAAGTCTTAATAGCTTATACTAATATTTCTGTTACCAAGATCTTTCAGCCTGGAAGTGATGAGGCTGCATATGTGCCTTCAAGGGATTGCTTTGGGAACAGCATGGAAACTCAGTTTTAGAGGGGAGGCAGGCTGGAGGCAGAGAGATGAGGAGGGCCTGGTTGGCAGAGACAGTGCGAAGGTGGAATTGACAGGTAGCTGTGTGGAGATGAGGGCTAGGGAGGAGTGGAGGGGGTTGTTGAGGTTCCTATCATGTGCTGTTCCCCAGAATGGGGAAGCCAGGAGCAGCAGTAAGCTTGGTTGTGGGGAAGGGAAGAGAAAATGAGCTGACATCCCCGTTCACGTACATCGATACCACGTGCAGTAACGTGCTTCATCCCTGCTGGTGTGCGTGGTGCGTGTCTCAGTGCAGGACACGCTGGTCCACAGGTTCATTTATTCTGATTTGCTCATCTGTGGTGCTCACTGTAACCCTATCCAGCAGCTCTCTCATTCCTGGTGCCCTACTGTTGGTGCACCTCTTCCCAGACACATCCTGCCCTCTTTCCTTAAGGAAATCTTCCCTATCAAGATCCAGCCCAAGTCCCATCTTCTGGGGATGTCTTCCCTGACCACAGTAGCCTTCCTTAGCTCCTTTTTTTTTTTTTTTTTTTTTTTGACAGAGTCTCTCTGTCACCCAGGCTGGAGTGCAGTGGTACCATCTCGATTCACTGCAACTGTGCCTTCCGGGTTCAAGTGAGTCTCCTGCCTCAGCCTCCCAAGTAGCTGGGATTACAAGCATCCACCACCACATCTAGCTAATTTTTGTATTTTTAGTGGAGACAAGGTTTCGCCATGTTAGCCAGGCTGGTCTCAAACTCTTGGCCTCAAGTGATCCACTGGCCTTGGCCTCCCTAAATGCTGGGATCACAGGTGTGAACCACCACACCCAGCCTCAGCTGCTTTCACATGGTCCTCAACCAAATACTGCAGCCCAAGATCACCTGGATGTGCTGAAACCCTAATATAATTACGGCTCCTTGTGGCTCAGTCTCTCCAAAGCATAAAGTAAAACTTAATTCTCAACCTAGATTTCTCCCTGACAGTATCTCTGAGCGATTTCCTCTCTTCCACATTTCTTTCCATCTGTTTCCTGGTTCTTCATTGCCCCTTGTCTGTGGGCTCACTGGCAGGAATGGGGCCGGCAGAAGCATAGGCATTCTCATAGTGCTGAGGCCTTCTGGGGAAACACCTCAAAACCACATCACTTCCTCTAAGGTGTGTAAATTCTTAGCTTTCGACTATACTCGGAAACATTTCATTGTTAGGGCACAACTGATGAGTTTTCAGGCTTAAAAAAAAACCTAGTTCCACTTGTTCCCTAACAAAGCTGGTGACTGAGGTCTCCTTCAGGGTCACTGACTCGTGAGTTTCTAGATGTTTGGCTGTTTTTAGTTCCTGTTCTGGGACATTTACTCTGTCTATGGAAGCTCTTCATTGTTGTTGTTGCAAACAATGATGTTAGGTGGGTAATTCAAAGCCCCATAACAGGAAGACGTTTGCCCTCACAGGTAGGAGGAAAAATATGTGGTCAGCCTTGAGCCCCAGCTCTGCCCTGATTTGCACATGTACACACACACACACACTCTCTCTCTCTCACTCTGACACATAGCTGGCTCAACACCTCACATGCAGCCAGGCCCACAAATTGGATGCACCCTAATGGACCCTGACCCGCTAAGAGGCAGTGGGGGGGGGGGCATCCTGGAGATTATTCTGGAAGCATCAGAAACTCATGCACTTCTTGAGGCACAGCACGCTCTCCTTGGTGATGTGGGCCTCATCAGCTTCCTCCTTTCCAGGTTAGGAGGCCAGCAGCTCTCAGGAGGTGATCTTAATGGTCCATGCCATGGAATAGAAAGAGCTCTGGGATCTTCTGAATTTAGGTTTGAATTCACTGACATGCTGTGTGATCTTAAGCAAGTTGCACAACCTCTCTGAACCTCTGTCTTATCTGTAGCAGGGGCAGAAAAAAAAGGATGTGCCAGTTGTGATAGGGTTCAAAATAACTGGCTGGGTGCAGTGGCTCATGCCTGTAATCCCAGCACTTTAGGAGGCTGAGACGGGTGGCTCACTTGAGGTCAGGAGTTCCAGACCAGCCAACATGGTGAAACCGTCTCTACTAAAATTATAAAAATTAGGTGGGTGTGGTGGCACGCACCTGTAATCCCAGCTACTCAGGAGGCTGAGGCAGGAGAATCGCTTAAATCAGGGAGGAAGAGGCTGCAGTGAGCCCAGATCATGCCACTGCACTCTAGCCTATGTAACAGAGTGAGACTCTGTCTCAAAAAACAAAACAAAACAAATAATAATATACAGATAATTTTTGGCACCTAGTATGTGCCAAATACCCAGCAGCTCTTATGGTTCCAGCCAGGCGGTGTCCACTCATCCTCCTTCCCCTAGGGATCAGGTGAGGGAAGTCTAGCCCATCTCATCACCCTCGCATCTCAAAGTGGGCCCCGAAACAAGGAGCATGGCCTGCAAGTGTGTTAGGAAGGCAGGCCCACCGCACCACACTGCATTTTAACCTGATCTCAGGGGCATCCCTTTGCTAGTTAAGTGTGAGAAACATGGCATCTTAGCTGGTCCAGGCTGGTCCTCAGCCCGGATGAGGCCCCACAGGCCTGCACCCCAGCGAGAGCACAGCCACCTCCACTTTAGTTGGTCCTGCTCCCGACTCCAGCCACACACGAACAGGTGGTGTGTGCTGTGGCTTATGGTAAGCTGCACATCATCCTACT